GGGTCTTTGTTATTGTTGTTAACCACCTTCAAGTTAATCTCATCTCATGGCAACCCTGTGGATGAGACATCTCCAAGTCTCCCTATCCTCCACTGAGCTCAATGCAGTTGAGTTTAGTGAGTTGGGATTACACTCTACATTTGTTGCTCATAGTTGAAAGTAACGTGACATGTTCATTATGAGTAAGAACGCTCAAGAATTTTGTGTGGTCCCATGTTTACATTTATCAAACTGATTCCCAGATTAATGTGTGGATTGGGATGCTCTCACCCTTTGTTACATCCATACGTGTAATGCATCATTTGGAAACTTATAGAGCTGTGGGGTCATTTTGGCAGTAGCCTCGCCACACCTCAATATGCAGGTCTAGGCATGGTTCCTGCTCAGTGTGTTAGATCTTTTTTGTCTATCACAGCATCATCTTTGTCACTTCAGCCAAGATATTGTCCTACTTTCTGAAACCCTTCTTCATATTTTGACAGATTATTGCATATTTTAGATGTTTGCATGGCTGTGACTAATCAAATATCATGAGCTGTGTAAGACTCCGAGGTTGTTTGCTATTCACAGCCTGGAGAGGGTCTTCTAGTATATTCTCAGAGATTTTCTCTGTAAGTAACCTTTATGAGAGTCCTAGCCTTCCAAATGGCCAAGAGACCACTTCGTGTGGTGCTATAGATTATTCGACAGGAGGTAGAAGCTTATATTGTGTTCCTAAGGGGGAATCCTTTGCATCATGTTAGTAGAGCAGGAACGTGGTCTCAATTGTCAACACTCTGTTCAGCATTATAGACTAGATACCAGTTCTAGGACAGATGCAGCCTTTGGATGGACCGTTCTTAGGTTTTGGATTGCATGACACTCTGTGTCCTTTGATAATATGGCTGAATCACACACACCATAAAAAGGAACAGATAACTTGTAACTATTGTTCTTTGCATGATCATCTGTAAAGTCACACAGCTTCCTCCTCTCTCTTGTGTCCTCCCAATTTGTGAGGTTCTGGGTGCTGCTAGTATGCTCAAAACTGAGGGACTGAGTGAGAACTACACCTAGATGTGCATACTGTGGAAGGGTGAAGCTCCTATGAAAATGATTGTTCAGTCCTAGATGTTTCCAATTGATGCACTTTGCCCATGACCTATATGTGGGAGTTTACAGAGAACCACTAAAAGAGCCACACTTAGCACTAAAGTCAGCCCTCCATATCCACAGATTCTTTATCCACAGAGTCAAGCATTCACGGCTTGACAATTGTTGTTGTTGTTTATTTATATAGTGCCTTCCATGTACATGGCACTTTACAACAGAATAAACTGTTTGGAACTACTTCAATAATATAAAATACAAAAATGCAATACTAGAATACAATACTAAAATACAATATTAGAATGTGTGTTGTGTGTGTTGTGTGCCTTCAAGTCAATTCTGACTTATGGTGAATTCATCACAGGGTTTTCTTGGCAAGTTTTTTAGAAGGGGGTTGCCATTGCCATCCTCTGAAGCTGAGAGTGTGTGACATGCTCGAGGTCACCCAGTGGTTTTCCATGGCTAAGTGGAGATCTGAACTCTGGTCTCCAGAGTTGTAGTCCACCACTCAAACCACTATGCCACACTGGCTCTTGAATACTAGAACACTAGAATACAATACTAGAATACAATACTAAAAATGCAATAGTAAACTACAGTGCAACAATAAAAAAGTACACAGACAAGCACAAAATACAAAATGAAATAATCAGCTATAAATGATTCCAAAAATATTTGAAAAATATTCCAAAAAGATATAAATTCCAAAAAGCAAACTTTGATTTTGCCATTTTATCTAAAGCACACCATTTGACTCTGCCATTGTATTTAATGGGACTTGAGCATCCACGGATTTTGATATCCACCAAATGTCCTGGAACCAAATATCAGCAGATACCAAGGGCCCACCGTATTCGACATTGCCTTTCTTTATTCTGCCCTCCAGAAAGAGAGGAGAGACAGCGGACAGGATTCTATGTCACAGCATGCAGAGCGTAATGCTCTGCGCATGTGGCTCCATGCTTCTCTCCTAAACCTCAGAGTTGCTGTTGCTACTGGTTGGGGGGAAGATGACTGGGTAGCGTCTGGCTGCAATTCTGTTGCTGGAGGAAGAGAAATGAGGTCATTCTACAGCTCTCCGGTGAGTCAAGGAGAAAGACCTCATTTTAATTACCCCAGCTGCAGAATTTAAGCCGCATGCCGTCTGGTCTCCTCCCCAGCTTCTCAGCCAGTAAATGGCCATGGCAGAGTCCATCGAGCTTGAAAGCTTCCTAGGTTGAGAAGGCAACTTTCTGCAAAAAAAAAAAAACCCTACTGAATAGCATCTTGTGCAAAAGCAGACATATGCATGTGAAACCCCACGTTCTGGGCACATAGGTCACTAATAGGATTTTAATCTGTGTCTGCCTAATCTCCAGTGGAATTCAGAAAGAATGCCAGAGATCAGGGGCCACCACAGAATCCCTTCAACTCCTTGTTGAGGACAAAGGAACAGTCACAGTTCATGATAATCTGGAGCAAGAACACCAAAATTCCCGTGGACCCTAGCTAGTCAATGTGTGAGTTGTTCTTCCAAACATTTGGAGGATGCTATATTGCCTAGTCCTGGACTAATGTGATGGAAGAGACAAGAGGTGAATGTCTGGGGGGGAAATGCCATATTTGTCTTCATTTTCCAATAGTCTCTTCTCTGTTTTCTTTCAGGCTGTGACAGATGGCTCAGGGGGATGATGCCTTCCTTCCTCTCTTCACATCCTCTTCCCTATCCACATCCTCCTCCTCCTCCTCCTCTTCTTCCTAAGTCCATGGAAGGCTAGAGGGGTATGGCAGGTTTGGGAAGGCCCCAGGACAAAAGCGCAATGGCCGCATGCTGATCTCCAGAAGGGACACAACACCTGAATAGCAAGCGGAGCATGCCACTCTGTGTCGGGGATGCAAATGAAGAGCAGGTTGGACAACACTGGAAGCAGGTTTTGGATATGGTCCTGCAAGAATGCTTCCTCCACATTGCCCTTTGCAAATATTGGAGACTTGTGGCAGCAGCTCATCTTTGGTCCCTCCTACTGGTTGCTCTTTAAGCAGGGGGAATGAAGAGCTTCATCGGAGAGTCACAGATTTTTTCTCCAGATGTGTGCAGCACCCTCCCTGGCTGACGTGGGTTTTCTTTTAGTTTAATTTATTTGGTTTGTTATTTTATTCTTCTCACTTGGAGAAAAATGCTGCTGAATCCACCCCCACCCCACAGTGAAATGCTTACTAGAGGAGATGGGGATTTCAATTGTTTCCAAAATAGTGGTTGACTGGGAGTTCAGATGTCCAGCTGCAAAAGAGAACAGGAATCCTGAACGCTTTGTGGTTTAGCTACAAAAGGTGTACCAGCCCCATGTTATTGTGCATCTGCTTGTCTTGGCAGCAGCAGGAGGTGGGGTGAGGGATCCCTGCAAGCAGATTCCTGATTTGAGCATCTAAGAACTCAACACAGAGATGAAAAATGTGTGACTCTCCAGACATTGTTGGACCACAACCAGAGACTGGGTTAGTTGCTTTTTGGACTACCACTCTCAGAATCCCCCAGGTAGCTGTGATAACTGGGGAGATTCTGGGGATTGTTATCCAAAAATCACTTCTGTAAGGTTGGGCAGCAACTCCCATCACTTTTTACACTTGGCTGTGCTGGCTGGGGCTGATGGGAGTTGCAGTCCAACAACCTTGAGAAGGCCAAGTGTTCTTCAGCCTTCTCCTTTAGTGATTATCAACCCACTCTTTGCAGCCGTGCTTATTTGTTTGACATGTGGAATTGATAGCTTTTCCACTCTTTCTTGCTATCTCTGTTGCTACTTCTTCCTTGATTATACATGGCATATTCAGTGTCCCACTCCACCCTAGAACCAGCCAGGCATGTGTCGGAACTTGGAAAAGTTACCTTTGTAGACTAGTGAGGGGTTCAGCAAGTTGTAGCCCCTACAGACAACTTTTCCATGGCATCCTTCTAATCAGGAACTATCTCTGGCTGCTTAGATAGTTGGTCAGGTTCTCATGCATCCATCAGTGTTCTGCAAGGTGGCAAGGATTCAAAAGCGGGTCTGTTGCACATAGTGTGGACAATGAAGACTGTGTGTCAGGGTGAGCTTGTTGAACCCTCCACCTCAGCTTCCATGCCTCTTGCTGGCTGTTTGCAATTAGGAAGATGCTTCTCTTTCACAAGGCTTCCCGAGAAATGGGAAGGGCCAGGAAAGAAAGAGACCGGAGAAAAAAATCCCTCCCCTGATTTTTTTTTCTAGGCTTTTTTTCTGGGCCTCATCTGGGGATTCTGGAGCCCCATACAACCAGGTTCTACCAGGTTCATGTGTCGTATCACTGAACCTATACACATCAAGCCAGCCTATTGCTTCTGACGCAGTGGTAGATGCTGTCCAGATATCGTAGTTAAAGTAAGAATCCTTTCTGTACATGGAAACAGAGTGAGAGCATCTAGTTCTTTGTTTCAGGCAGTCCTGCTTGCAAGTTCTTATGAAGTTATTTGAAGTTGCTGGTAGTTTGACGCCTAACAATGCCATGAATGCAGATGATGTCAGAGGGCTACATTGTTTAGCTTTAGGCTCCCAGGGCACCTCTCTGAAGGAATCATTTTGCATCATTCTGGAAGAAAGGAATGGCCTTCTGTTACACCTTTCTGGACTATCTTATTTATTTCATTTCATTTCATTTTTATGCCTCCTTTCTCCCAGAAAGGGACTCCAGGTAGCTCACAAGATAAAAATACTTTAAAATTTTTACAACAATTAAAAAAAAAACAAAAAACAATTTAAATCTTCTTGAGACCTTTGTGGTAAACCAACAGGGTCCCAACATTCAGTTTTAGCACTGAAGCAAGATTTCTTGTTATTTATTTATTTATTTATTTATTACTTAAATCTTACTTTCCGATCCTGTCTTTGCTCTGATAAGCTCCAGGGTAATGTACGTGGAGAGCCAGGGTGGCATAGTGGTTTAAGGATTGGACTACAACTCTGGAGACCAGGGTTCGAGTCCCCACTTGGCCATGGAAATTCACTGGGTGACCTTGGGCAAGTGACACTCTCTCAGCCTCAGGAGAAGGCAATGGCAAACCCCCTCTGAACAAATCTTGCCACAAAAAAGGTTTGTTTTAGGGTCACCGTAAGCTGGAAATCACCACCACCACCACAATGTACATGGACCTCTTCCTTCTCATTTTATCCTCATAGCAACCCTGTGAGATGAGCCAGACTGCTCAGTGAGTTTCATGGCCAAGCGGGGTTCGAGCCTGTGTCTCTGCTATCCTAGTCCAGCATTCTGACCCTGGCGCCATACTGCCTTTTGATATTGCTGTCTTACTCCCAAAGAAGGCTACTTCCCATTTTTTTTTCTCCTAATAATTTTGCTCCATTTTCTGTGTGTGGCAGTCACTCTGTTCCTTCCACAGTGTCCGAGAGCAATAGTGTATCTGGGACACTGCAGTGGGTACAGAGTGGTGGCCAAGTGGCCAAGGCACTTGCTGCTGGAGCGACATGCAACAAGAAAAATGAAACAAAACAGTTTGGGGGCCAAGGGGTTGCAAATGGCCATTGCTGCTAATGGTGAGTCCTTCCCCGAGAAAATGGTGGAGAATTCCCTCCTGCCACCACCCCAAGGAGAAATTTGATGGAAGGTTTCCTTATATTTCTCTGCCCACAAATAGGCTGCAGAAAATATGTTGGTTCTCAGTTCGACTCCCACCTGCAGCCATTCTCAGAGGTGGACTCAAGACTTAGGTCCAAAACACACTTTAACTGCCCTGGCTCAATGCTAGGGAATTCTACGAATTGTAGTTTTGTGAGACCTTTCACCTTCTCTGTCAGAGAGCTCTG